CCTGCTGATTTGAATGGGCTGTGTTAAGTAACTTCTGGCTCTTGTTAATCGAAGAAGAATGGAAAAACAAGGTTTTTAAAAGTACAGACTTAACTTCGACTTTAAATGTTACACTGTGCACTCAGGAAGACAAAACCAAGACCAAGTAATCAATTTATGATTAATATCTTGTGTTTTGGTAATGCAAGTAGTTCTTCCTTGTTCTTATTCATCAGTGTGGTGTGTTCAATCTCAAAATCCTAGACACCTTAGAGTCTTGCCATGATGTCATAGACATCCTACACAAAAGAGAAATGTAGAGCAGGGCTTTTCCTCAGTTCTCACCTTGCAGGAACAGTTTGTGAAAATGTGAGCAGTTTTATTTGGAAGCTTTTTCAAACCTGACTTTTGAACAGACTTGCCTGCCTAGTTTATAAGTGTGTCCTGTCTGTAAGCAGTGTGGTTTCACATAGATTTCTGTATAGAGAGGCATTGCTGGAAGTTAAAGTCTGTTGGACATACTCCCATCAACTCCTTGCCCTTTTTTAAAGCTTTAGATGAACTGTTAATTTTACAGAGCTATTGAATGTGAAGGGTAAATTTGCTGCTTCTGTTTTTAGACCCATTTCACCACTCAGAAGTGATTTAATAATACTTAAAATTATTGTACCTATCAATTTTGAGAGAGTTGAAATCAACTTTAAATGTTCCCGCAGCAGTTTGTAGGCATATTTAATGTTCTTCTTGCTGGTTGAATTATAATCTGATCATTAGTCTGGTAAATATTCACACTGCAAAACTTGTTATTAAGACTTGTTTGGACTACCCAAATGGATTTTAACAGCATAGTATTAGTAATAGATGGAAAAAGTGGTAGTAGGCACAATTTGCAGTCTGTTTTTTTCCACTTACATTGTATGTTTACAAAATACAGTGATAGATTCAACAAAAAACATCTGTTTTCCTTCTGTTATTTTTTTTTCTCTGACAGCTGTAAGCCAAAGAGCTTTCTGGCCAAAAAGGCTAGCAAATCACATTTCTCCTGAGAGATTATTTCATAAATTTTCTCAAGTTCTTTTTTCTTTCAGCATGGGATTTCTTGGCCTTTTTAAAATTAAACAGATCCCTGGTCTTTTGGAAAGGAAAAAAATAATTCAAAGAGTGTCATCTACAGAGTCATCACAATGCTTGTGATTTACATCCAAACAAAACACAGGCTTAAGTCTGTAAATATCTGTTCATTTGTATCTCCCTTTTTGTTCCACTATCTCACTTGGATTGTGAAAACATGCATATATAGTCTTAGTATTGAGAGAAGTTTGCTATTGATTATTGAACTGCTTCCTGATGTTTTGCAATGTGCATTTTAAGAAATGCTGCCCAGATACCTGGTGAGTGGAATGATCCTAACATGATAAAAGTAATTGTATTTTATGAGTACATGATTAGCAGCTGTTGCTGGGGATTTTTATCCCACACAGTGCACACTTTCCCATTTAAATAGCCTTCATATATCTTGTGTTAACAAGGGCCATAGTTAAGTGCTGCTGGTTTTAATATGTCTGTTTTCTTAAACAATTTTGCAAAGCCATGGCAATTAATGTTTATTCTGAAACCAGAGATATATTCGTTGCAGGGTAATTTAAAGTCCATCAGCTTCTAAGGATATCTTCTAGGGATCCAGCAGCAGCTTAGGATCAGGTTGGGTTACAGCCAAATCCCTGCTAGAATTAAATCTCACCAGGGATGTTAAGAACAATAAGAAAAGCTTCTTTAGGTATGTTGGGGAGAAAAGGACATCCAAGGACAATGTAGGCCCTCTCCTGAAGAAAATGGATGAGGTAGCAACACAGGATATTGAGAAGGCTGAGGTCCTCAGTGACTTCTTTGCTTCACTCTTCTCTGGCAAACGCTCCAGCCTCAACACAAAGGCCACAGCAGGTGGAAGCAGGGACTGGGAGAGTGAATTACTCCCTACTGTAGGAATAGAGCAGGTTCGTGACCATCTGAAGAATCTGAAGGTGCATAAATGTATGGGACCTGATGGGATTCACCCACGGGTCCTGAGGGAGCTGGTGGATGCAGTTGCTAAGCCTCTGTCCATCATATTTGAGAGGTCGTGACAGTCTGGTTAGGTTCTTGCTGACTGGAAAAAAGGGAACAACATAGCCCCTATTTTTAAAAAGGGGAAAAAGAAAGACCTGGGGAACCACACGCCAGTCAGTCTCACCTCTGTGCCCAGCAAGATCATGGAGCAGATCCTCCTGGAAGGTCTGCTAAGGCACATGGAAAATAAGGAGGTGACTGGTGACAGCCAACATGGCTTCACTAAGGGCAAGTCATGCCTGACCAATCTGGTGGCCTTCTACAACAAGGCTACAGGGATGGTAGATGGTGGCAGAGCAACTGATGTCATCTGCCTGGATTTGTGCAAGGTGTCTGACACTGGCCCACATGACATCCTGGTCTCCAAACTGGCAAGACATGGATTTGACATATGGAACACTCGGAGGATAAGAGATTGGCTGATTGCTGCACCCAGAGAGTTGTAGTCAATGGCTCAATGTCCAAATGGAGGCAGGTGACAAGTGGTGTTCCTCAGGGGTCAGTACTGGGACCAGTGCTGTTTGACATCTTTGTTGGAGACATGGACCGTGGGATTGACTGTGTCCTCAGCAAGTTTGCTGATGAAACCAAGCTGTGTGGAGTAGTTGACACCCCTGAGGGAAGGGAGACCATCCAGAGGGACTTTGACAGGCTGGAGGGGTTGGCCAGTGCCGACCTCATGAACAAGGCCAAGTGCAAGGTCCTGCACTTGGGACAGTGCAGCCCCAGGCACAGATACAGGCTGGGGGGAGAATGGGTGGAGAGCAGCCCTGAGGAGAAGGACTTAGGGGTGGTAGTAGATG